TCGTGGCGTACAAAGAAACAAAGTGTAGTTTCCCGTTCTTCGGCTGAAGCCGAATACAGGGCCATGGCAACTACTGTTTGTGAACTCAAATGGCTGAAATCCCTTCTCTTCTCCCTTGGTGTGCGTCACAAACAGCCCATGCGGTTGTTTTGTGATAATCAAGCTGCTCTTCATATTGCCGCTAATCCGGTCTTCCATGAACGTACAAAACACATTGAGATTGATTGCCACTTTGTACGTGACGAAATCCAACGAGGTGTTTTGTGTACTCGCCACATCTCCACCAATGATCAACCGGCAGATCTCTTTACAAAGGCTTTGGCTTCCGCTTCGTTTTCTCATTTACTGTCCAAGCTGGGCATCCAGAATCCGCATGCTCCAGCTTGAGGGGGGGTATTGGAACTGAGAAGTCCGGATCCGGAGAAGTCCGACTTCCGAGGAATCCGGATTCCGAGAGATCCGAATTCCGAGAGGTCCGAATTCCGAGAAATCCAAACTTGAGAAGTCCAAATCCTTTGATGACCGAATCCCATTCTAATTAGGATTGATCTTGATTTATTTGTTTCCTAGTTTGATTATGATTTGTTTCCTTGTAGGATTTGTATTCCTTGTCTATTTTGGAATCATCCTCTCCTATAAATAAAGGAGAAACCCCTTGTAACTAAATAAAACAATTGAATATACAGAATATTTTCCCTCTTATTATTTTGTACATAAATAGTCATTTTTTAAGTTATTTTTTAATGGTAGACTAGATTTGTAATAGTATATTCAAGACAAAAAAATGATTTATGCAATTTTCTCCATCCTTAATTTTTAAATTTAAAAAAGATGAACCCCACTAAGGATAAAAGTTCTCTCGGATCAAACTGGTCATTTATCTCAAAAAAGAAAAATGAAATTTTAATTTAGACTAAACATCTTTTTTTAAATAAAGCATAATACTTCTCTATCTAGAATTAGAGTTGTTCTTCTGAGATCCGATCCTAAGGTCTAGGTATGAGATATACACCTCATACTTTTTATAAGACGTCAAATAAATCTTTTTTTTGCTAAAAACTCAATTCTTTTACAATATTAATGCACTAAAGTCTATAAAATGAGAATGAACCTTAGACAAGCTTGCCCTAAAATTAATGGTCTCCCATGCCACTTTTAAACTCTGATCTCTATTTTTCAAATAAATTGAATTAAAAATAATTTTAGTCAGACTTTGTAAACAAGTAAAACAACACCATGCAATTTGAATTGACATGGAGAGAAAATTATTTTAAGTGAATTCAAATTGCTGAAATCAAGCTTCCTGAAATTGCATGTTGTTTTACTTAAAATAATTTCACTTCCTGAAATTGCTCAGCTTCCTATAAAACACTTTTATACACATTTAAAATGCCTAAAATTTACCACATTTCTCATTTATTGTAAGTAGAAGTTGTTTTGAAAGTTTTTTTTGCATTTGAGGCGGGATAGAAGTATTTTATGAGACGCAAAAAATGAAACAGGAAGATATTTTTGGGACGGAGGGAGTAAAAATTAGGCCACATTATGAAATAGTGGGGATGTTTTACTTCTAATAAAAAAGGGTAATATAGTCTCTTTGTAAAAGTTAAAAAAAAAAGTGGAGTGCAACTATCAACTTATGGAGTGCCAATATCAAGTTTCGGATAAAAGTGGTTTTTTAATAGAAAGTGGAAGTGTTTTGTTGGAAGTAAAAAAAATGAAAGAGGAAGAGTTTTTGATAACGAAGGAGTAGAACTTTTTCCGTAGTTTTTAAATATTTAATTTTTATTTTTATGCAAAATTGTTTTATAAAAATAAATTTTTTTAAAAAAAATTAGATTACACCTCATTTTGGCTTTCAATGGAGTAATTTATTTTGGACGGGAGTACACATAGAAAGAAATCAAAACATCAGGATAGAGACGGGATTACATTTATTGCCGCACTATCAATTCATGACATTATTATCCGTTCCCTCTTACATGTCGTCATGACTCATGATGATGGGCTTCATTATTCATTTATTCCCTCACACAATGCCGAAATTCACACAGATCCAAACCTCAATTTTTTTTTTATATAAATTAAATGACGTTTCTCGCTCGGGCAATCTAATTCGAGATTTTGAAATCGTCAATTTGGACGTTCTTGAAATCAAGCTTCCTGAAATTGCTCAGCTTCCTGGACGCGTCAAACATTCCCCAGTTGTACGGCGTGTACCTGGCCGGGTTTCGGCCATCTGTGAGCCCATCCAATGGCTTCACCATGGTGTCATGCGCCGGGTTGAAGAAGAAGGGAATAGAGAACCTCTCCCTGGTGGAGTTCACCACCACCCTGTGCTCCACGCTCTCATATACATCATTCGCCCAAACCTGACAACAACAAAAACAACAACATAAAATGTCAATCTTAACTATAGAAAACCGTAAAAAGTCAAATGAGAGAGAAAGTAGTTGTTACTTGAATGACCGCTCCGAGATTGATGATGTAGGCGTCGGGGATGGGCTTGACGCGCACCCACTCGCCGTCGGATTTCCTCTTGACCTCGAGCCCACCGACGTCGTCTTGGTAGAGGATGGTCAGAGCGCCGCTGTCGGAATGGGGACCGACGCCGAGAGCCAGGTGGGGGAACGGGCATTGTGGGTAATGGGTGAGCATCACTGTCGAAGTCTGGGTCTTGTAAAACGGCTCGAACGTATCAGCCGGCAAGCCCAGGCTCCGAGCAATGAGTGCCATTAATTTGAACCCAAGCTTCTCCATCTCCTTCCCGTATTCTTCAGATACCTTCCTGTACAGTTCAACAAATTGATTGACCACCCATAACTCGTATTTCTAAGGGGTGATGATCAATAACTTAATCACTAATTAAAGAATATACTCACTCCCTTCCAAAAAAACATTTCCATTTTCAGCATTTATATGTCCTAAAAGAACACTTCCACTTTCATTTGAATAATAATAATAATAATAATAATAATAATAATAATAATAATAATAATAATAATAATAATAATAATAATAGGGCCCGTCCAAGGTGTCCTACCAGCTAAACCCATTTTGTTATGTTCATTACTATAATGTTAATTATTATTTTTTTAAAAATAGTTAATACTCCGTACAATTTAATTTGTTAGGATCAAATCTAATTTTTTTCCTTTCATCGAGGAGTACCGAGTATTTATTAGGCTATGGGGACAAACAACAACAACAACCCAGTTAAATCCCACAAGAGTAGGGTCTGGGGAGGGTGTGTGTACGTGGACCTTACCCCTACTCGAAAGTAGAGAGGCTGTTTCCAAAGAGACCCCCGGCTCAACGTCGAAAGTTGCATTGCTTGACAAACTGCTACTTCATTAATTAAAGAAGCGCAGACAGTTTAGAGATCCATTTTGATTTATTCCATCACACCCCAAAGCCAAAAAATAGTGAAATTTTGGCTCCATCGGAGAAGATGGAAAAATATCAGGGTATGGGGACCATGTGGTTAATTACCTCATTTGAGGGGGGTGTTTGGGCCATAGATTATAGACCTCACTTATTTCATGGGCAGCATCGGGGTTTTGGGAACGAGGCAAGAGATAAGGACTCTCCAAAGCAAACTCAAACACTTCTTTCCAGTCTCTAACGTTGACGGTGTGCTCGCCGTCGTGATACCCATGCACGTTCTCCTCGTCCCGCCTCACCTCTCTCTTCTCCTCCACACTCTGTCCGAAAAAGGACCGGGCCACTTTTTCCATCTCAAGGCGCTTCCCTTCGGAAACGCCGTGGTTGACCACCTGGAAAAAGCCCCAGACCCTGCACGCGTTGCCAATTTGCGACACAATTGTCTCGTCACAATCGCCGTTCTGGAGGACCGCGGAGAGGTCTATTAAGGGTATGCCTTCGGCTTCGGTTTCGGAAAGCTTTGGCCTGTTTTCGATGGGCTGAACGAAGTCACGATCGATCATGCGGTCTCCCAAAAAGGATTTTTCTTTTGAGGGGAACAATAGTTCAGCTGGGAGCTGGGTTTCCATCATCATTTGGGTTTCCATGGCGGTTCTGCTAGCTGTATGAGGAGTTTTAGCTCAGCTCTAAGAAAATAATTAATACTTGTATAATAATGAATGTGTATGCTGGAGGAATAATAATTAATAATGATAAGGTGGTGAAGAAAATAAGTTAAGGCTTGAATTGTGAGAAACCCAACTTCTTTCGGGGTATTTATAGTGGGAGTTAGGGTACACCAAGTGTACCCCAAATGTACACCACCCTCCCCCTCTACCATTCATTTTATTTTATTTTTAGTTTTTACTTTTTTTTGAATTTTTTTGCCTTTTTTGTGTGGTGATGGAGGGGGTGGGGATGTTTGGGGTACACTTTTGGTGTACCCCTAACATTTTCCTACTCCGTGCCTTCCTTTGAACCTTTTTTCTTTCTTTTTTAATCTGTCCCTGAAAACGTTTCTCTTTTATTTTTTCATGTGTCCCAAAACAAAATTTCTTATTTCTATTAAAAAGTCACTTTTACCCCTTATCTTTCCGACTCTCATGTTTTTAGGACCGGAGAGAGTGTTATATTTTCACTAGGGGTAGGCACGGGTCAGAAATTTCGTAGTTTTTAGTTGTCGCGATTCTAGCTCTATTTTATACTCCCTCCGTCCCTAAATAAACTTCCGTTTTTGACTTTTTGAGGATTTAAGGGAGGAATATTTTTGTGTTGACTTTCCAAAAATACCCTTGATGTGATATGTAAAAGTAAGATGTGATATGTAGATTATTAGTAAAAAGGTATAATTTGATAGGTAGGGTATGAAAGAGTAAGGGGTAAAAGGGTTTTTAAGGGAAAATAGAAGTTTATTTGGGGACAAAGAAAAAACGAAAGTGGAAGTTTATTTAGGGACGGAGGGAGTAGAAGGAGTCGGAACAGTCTGGGGGTATAACGGTGTCCCATTTTTTACCCATTTAGTTTGGGATCATATCGGGACAATTCGAAACAGTTTGGTATATCGTGATTCAAACTTTTATCAACTATAAAAATAAAAAAATTAATTTGTTAATCCGTAACAATAATTCAAAATTTTTATACAAACATCTTTAATCATTTCTAAAAATAGTCTTGTACCTTAACATATTTAAAAAGTACTCCGTAAGATTTTAGTGTACAAACCTTATATATGAAGTTATGTAAAAAAATTAAAATGATTTAATATTTGAATCTAGAAATTTATATGTATATATCTTCGAAAAACAAAAGATGTCATATTTGTTCGTGTTATTTCATTTATATAAATATATAAGTAAATTAGCATTAGATCAATCACTCGGACGTTCAAATTTTTTATCATTAAATTGATAAAAATTATTTTAGCTATTTAATAAAATTATAATATGCATTATATAAATTTTTCGTTATAAAATATATCATTGTTAATAGAAGTTGATTTTTAATTTTAATTTCGATGTATTATTTGCTTTAACTATTTGATTTTTTAGTGATAGAGTGAAAGGTTAAAAGGTGAGAAATTTATAAACTGTAATAAAATAAAGAGTATTTAATACTCCCTCCGTCCCATTAAACATGAGACTTTTTCTTTTTAGGAGGGATTTAAGGGGAGTGTATTTTGGTATTGAATTTCCAAAAATGTCCTTTGATGTGATGGGTAAAAGTATGATTTGATGGATAGATTATTACTCCCTCCGTTCCACAAAACACTTCCGTTTTAATTTTTTGCGCACCCCATAAAATACTTCTATCCCACCTAAAATGTCTAAAATACCCCTAAAACAACTTCTACCCGCAATAAACTACATAGTGGGGTATATTTTAGATATTTTAGGTGGGAGTAAAAGCGTTTAATGAGGTGCGCAAAAATTTAGGGCGGAAGGGTTTTAAGGAACGGAGGAAGTAGTAAAAAGGTATGATGTGAAAGTTAGGGTATGAAAAAGTAAGAGGTAAAAGTAACTTTTTAATAAAAATGAGAAGTGTTTTGTGGGACGGATAAAAAAAGAAAGGAGAAAGGTTTAATGGGACGGATGGAGTATAAACTTTAATATGTGTGCTTGGCATGATTCATTGTAAGCGGTTCGAGATAGCCATGGTGAAATCTCGGGGTTGAATCCTATTGGCAAGAATTGTTTGCCAAAACTAGTGACGTGCTTTGACAGATCGAGTTGAAGAGATGGAGACTTAATGGATTTGGAAATCCTTAATGAGGAGCATTAAGGTACTAGAGTAGGGAGATCCCAAACCAGTATGAAATTGGTGTGTCATTTTCTTTATGCTTTTATTTATGTGTTTCATTTATTCCTTCTACATTCGCCAACACCAATTTTATCAAACTCTGAAAAGATTTTAAGCGCCTTATTCACCTCTCTCTAAGGCGTGGGCACCTTGACTAAGAATTACTTCCAGAATTATCTCATAATTTTATTGTGGGATTTTCTTTGGTGACTTTGCAATTGAGAGGGCATCCATGCCCCTCCATTCATTAAGACCTCGTTTGGTATACGGAATCCAAACTATGAAATTGGAATTGAGGACTTCAATTCCAATTCTGGTGTTTGATAGCACAAAAATTATGTGGATTTGGAATTGATAGTGTAAAAAATGAATTGGAATTGGTAGAATTTAATTCTATGGAATTGAATATAATGGAATTTCAATTTCAATTCAATTTCAATTCTATCCATTCCTTATACCAAACTGGCCCTAAATGACACCTAATAGTGTAAAAGTTTAATTAATAAGTTTTCATTAATTGTTAAAAATTGTTAAATAACCTCAAGTTTTTTGGAAATTTACACAAACTTAACCACTTTCGTCTAATTCACTTAAAATACTATTACTCATTATTAATTATTATTTTATCAACTATTTATCCTTTTTTAACGTTTCCTAGATAATTACAAGTATTATTTTATTGAATAATTTTTTTATTAATTATTATTTAATTAACTCACCATTTATTTTAAACAAATAATTTCTATTTAATTTTCTCAATCTCATTATTCTGTTATTTTTTTATTTAATTACTTTTCATTTAAAGAACAAAAATGAGTTTAAAAAACTAGATAGAATTGAAAGAAAAAAAAGTTGGAAAAAATTTGAAAATTTCAAAAGTGGGTAAGAATATGGAAATATTGGGAAAAGTTGACAAATGTTTGATAAAAATGAAAACTGTTGAAACAAATATTATTCCCTTCGTCTACAAATTAAATTTATGTAATGTGCAAAATCTCATCTGATTAAAAATATGTTATTCATAAATTGGTATGAAAAAAATGTAAAAATTACATATTTTAAAAGTATATCAAAAGTTTTCAAAACAAGATATTATATAAATATTTTATTTTATCAAATTATCAATGAAAATATACAAATAAACAAAAATTATCGGGAATCTAGAATACTAACAGAGAAGTTGATTTGTGGACCGGTGGAGTATATTTTTTTAATTTTATTTTTTTATTAAAATAATTTGTGCTCTATTTATTTCAAATGTTTAACTTTTATTTTTAATTATGCCTTTTGTAATATATGAATTATTTTAACATTTTAATAACCTACGGAGTATGTTAACTCTAGAATATTAATGGAAATTTCTTTCAAAGACAAAGAAAATATTTTTTATCTAAGTTTTGAAAATATTTCAATTTATTCTTATTTTATTCACATTGATGACGATGATGATGATACTAATACTTCCTCCATTTCATAAAACTCTTCCTCTTTCGTCTTTTTCCAATTCCCTAAAACAGTTCTACTTTCTATTAAAAACTACTTTTACTCATACTTTTTTATACCCTACCTATTATATAATACTTTTTCACTAATAATTAAACTATCACATCTTACTTTTACCCATCACATCAGGGACAAAATTGGAAAGTTAACCAAAATTACACTTTCCTTATTTTGGCCCAAAGTCAATATAGGAATGGTTTTAAGGAACGGAGGGAGTATTAAATATAATTATATTAATAATATGAAAAATACACCTAAAAATTAGGTTATTATTGGAAAAAGTAAAACTAGAAAGATTTGGATGAAACTTTTATTTATTAAAAGAAACTTTAAAAGATTGGAAGATATGAGAAGAAATTAAAAAATACTCCGTATAAAATAAAAGTCAGGATTTGGTCATGTATTTTTCAACTTATTCTTATTACTTATTATTTTTTCATATTGGGATTAAATCAAATCAAATCAGATCAAAAATAGTTTTAAATATAACTGCATTCAGATCAGATCATAACTTATTTCAATAAGATCAGAATCAATCAGATCGGCTGAAGAGAACATTGTCATAAAGCTCAATAGAACAAAACCTAATTATAAGTGAAAAGTTTAATAAGAGAAATAAATAAACAAAATAATAATAATAATAATAAACACTAATAATACATGGTAATAGTAATAAAAATAAAACTAAAAGTAATATTAATAATATAGTAATAATAATAATAATATAAAAAGAGTAATGGTAATAGTAATAATAATAATAGTTATAATAATAATAATAATAATAATAATATAAAAAGAGTAATGGTAATAGTAATAATAATAATAGTTATAATAATAATAATAATAATAATAATAATAATAATAATAATAAAATACTCCTAAAGTAGTCAAACTGATGAAAGTGTTGTGGAACGTAGGGAAACAAAAGCATAGGTTGAGATGGGGTAAACTTTGTAAGTTTTTAGAAATTAAAAGAAACGTATTAATTAAATTTGTAGTATTATGTTGCATCAAAAATACAAATGTCAATTAGTGAATGGAAGGGCATGAATATCCTCTCAATTCTAAAGGCACGAGAATGCTGAGTGGATATTTTAATTAGATCAGATCCTACAATCAGATGGACCAGATCCATTCATATCATATAAGATTAATCCAAATCTGATATTGGAGCTTTTATTTTGCTTAATCGGTTCTCCTTTTGTTTTCTCAAAATATGGAATGAAAAATTTGAAAAAACGCATTTGTGTTGCTTAATCAATTCTTCTTTCGTTTTCAAACAAAATATATTGAATAATTGCACTTATTTCAAAATCCAAATTGTAATCTATAAAAAATTTTCAGAAGTTCTGAAGTTGCTTATCCGTAAACATGCAACTTATATTCCTTATGTGATTTTTGATCAGCACTAACAATATTATGCTCCTAAATTCTTTGTTTTATTAAACTCTTAAAATTGCTCTTTTAATAAAACTTAAGTTTATTTTTGCTTAAACTTAACAACTAGTGTTTCAATTCTAGCTATCTCATGATGAGCGGTTAGGTCTTGTTATTCGAGTCTCATCAAGCATTTTCACTTAGTTGTGAGTACCTTTGACCATTAGATATTCAAATGACATTTTCCTAAAAACACAATTGTTTATTTTCTATATCCAACGATGATTGTTACACTTGTGCTTAAATAGTTTGTAATTAACCAAAGTGAAAGGTGGATGTTTAATTTTTGTAGATTGTAATCTAGTCTACTATTTTAGACATTATATTAGACTTTATCAGAAGTTCATTATCATAATTGTTCTTAGTCATACCGATTTTCGATCTAAGTTTCTAATATATCACTCTAAGTTCTTCTTTAGCCTAAGTATCTTATTTTCCTCATTTAATACCACCCTAGCTCCCAACATGGGAATTGAGACTTAATTTGACTAGTGTGAACCATACATTTTAGAAAGATGATTGATGCTAACTCTTGGCATGCTGTATATTGATCTTGCACTAATTGAGGATGCTCTGCAACACCTGAACCTGTGTAAGTAGAATACATAGATTGGCAAACCGAGTCGCTACTAAATGGTATCCACATGACAGTAATTTCCAAAATAATTAAAATAAACATCCACTCATATTAATTAAAAATCAACGTTAATGCGAAAGCCATAATGAAACAACATTTGAAAACAACTTAAATACTTTAAATGAGTACAAGGAAAACTTTAAAATAATAATTTAAAAAGAACTTTGGCCCGTCCACAATATCCACATTACTATCCTCAAGGTTGTTCCTCTTTACCTTGATTCCTATATGTGGCAATGAAAGGTACACGCTCAGGTGAAAGGTGAGTGAGAATATATATAATGCTTGAACTAATTCCACGACTAGCATGCATCCCCATATGATCACACAACATCTAAGAAATCAGTAAACATTATTCTTCAACGTCATGATTAATTAAATTAAATATCCGGTTCAGATCTTACACAACCACACTAAACTTAACCTACTTGGCTAAGGTTCATTATAATTGACTAGATTTACAGATACTCAAGTGGATCCATCGAGGATGATGCTTAATAACCTAAAGAAGATCTTCAATGGGTGGTTTGGAGTCCTTACTAAGGGATCCCTAGGTAGCTCCCGAACTCTCATTCCTACGTTTTGAACCTCGGACCTAAGTATGCAAAGCTCGCTAGTTGCACCAGTCCTAAATCTTAAGGCATAACCTATGGTTGACTTCAATATTCACATCAATTCAATTTTATTTTGTTCCAACTATATATACTAGGTTCCATATTTCATAGTTCTAGCTTTATACACAATTATCACCAATAAGTTCTATAACACAAGCATATCTAATTTAACAAAACTAGCAATCTATCGGGGAAACAGTGTTCCCACGATTACCGTCATGCAATCAAATATTACAATTCATAATAGATTGGGTTGTAATTAAAACCATTTTTCGAGTTCCATGTCAAATGAGTTAACCCATGAGCCCCCATGGCGGCCCCCTCTTTGACCGCGACCCTCATTGCCAGAAGTGGCACGGTAGTGGTACACACGAGCAAACAAAATCAACCGGCACGACGTCATCACGTGTGACGAGTAGCATCGGCAAAAATTGGATCGCGGCCATATCCTTGGCGGCAGAGGCGACATCCCCTGTCAGTAGCCCGTCCAGTGACCCTGCAGCAATGACTTTAGCCGTCAACGAAACCCTTGCCTCTTATGCCCTTTTTGTGAAACAGTGGGACCAAGAAGGGCAGCATGACCCAACGAAAACGGATTCTCTCAACGGTGGGAAGATAGTGGCATAGTAGCGGCAGCATGACCCATCCACAACAGTGCCAGCCCTCCCTCCTCTTAACCAGAAATGACCATAACATTAGTCTTCCCTCCCGGTACTGTCTGTGATCCATGGATCTCCGATCGGGAAACCGTATCCAAGCTCCGTGGCTAGTCTGCGCTCTTTGGACTTTTCAAACTTAGCGAACTGAAACATCTTAGTAGCTAAAGGAAGGGAAATCAACCGAGACCCCGTGAGTAGCGGCGAGCGAGAGCGGATTGGGGGTTTGAAGAAAAACAAACACGAAGCTTCGTGTTCACTTCTTTTTCGCCAGGTTTCATTCGATTGGATGATGGAAAAACCAGCAAGCTACGGCTTCAAACGAATCAATCGTAACGAGAGATATATAAAACTATGNGTCTGTGATCCATGGATCTCCGATCGGGAAACCGTATCCAAGCTCCGTGGCTAGTCTGCGCTCTTTGGACTTTTCAAACTTAGCGAACTGAAACATCTTAGTAGCTAAAGGAAGGGAAATCAACCGAGACCCCGTGAGTAGCGGCGAGCGAGAGCGGATTGGGGGTTTGAAGAAAAACAAACACGAAGCTTCGTGTTCACTTCTTTTTCGCCAGGTTTCATTCGATTGGATGATGGAAAAACCAGCAAGCTACGGCTTCAAACGAATCAATCGTAACGAGAGATATATAAAACTATGACTCACCTTGAATAAATTGAAGAATCATAAACTAATCGACGTAGAAATCCTTTGGTAAAGCTTGCTCTAGCGATTAACGTTTTCTCTCTCGCTCCCTTCTTGCGTCTATCACGCGGTAAAAAGAACAAGAAGAAGATGACGTCGATGATTAGAATGTAATCGGAGAAGGGGTACTCCATATAATATATATATATATATATATATATATATATATAGGTATAAGGTAATTATATTAGTATTTGTACAAAGGCCACATTACCTGGTGAGTTAGTCATATCTTCGGCCCACTAACACTATTTCACGATTCGTTCACTTCATTGGGATTAGGAATATGAGTTCTAGTAAATAGGATAAATTCATAAATTGAAAATTGAATTTCTAAATAAACCTCGTCCAAATCGACTCATTAATTAATTAATTATTTAAATTAATAATACTAAATTGGGTCCCAGGGCATACATGCTCTTCCTACTGCTAGACATAAAATAGCAAATGAGAAATGGAAAGGGAGTAACCAAATGTGTCTTATGCTTTTCAAGAACTCTATCAATCCAATCATCAGAGGAGTTATTTTAGATTCCGATTTTCCCAAGACTTATCTAGATTTTGTGGAGGAGAAATTTTAAGGAATCTCTAAAGCACATAATAGTATTCTTATCCTGAAGTTGGTGACTAGAAAATATGAAGGACACAACGTGTAACACCTCACCCTGGGTGACCAGAGTCATACAGACCAGAGTGCTAGTAAAACCTAGTTGCTTAGTAAAACTTTTTTTAGAAAAATATAAAACTTATACTGTTAAGTTCCATATTTTTCACACATCACTTTAACATAATTTGTTTCTCAAGAAAAAAAGGTTCACTTGACCAAATTGTTTTATTTGGATAGTAGAGAACCAAAACTCATTTTATTCCGTTTCACTTTATTAATCATTTAATTATTTATTTATCTTTACTCATCCACATTAGTCGTAATAAATCGTTAAAATTAAAGTTCAAATTGATTATTTTTAAACAAATAATAGTAACATTTTTTAATTTAAATTTTATTATATTTTTTTCCATATATTTTTATTAATTTTTTTAAATACTTTTGATTTCTTTATACTAGAAAGTTAAAATTTCCAGACCGGTTTTCAGGGCGTTACACAACGCCATCCACGAGCACATCTTGATGATGAGTGACATGACCCATAAACTTAAGGGATTAGCCATGGAGACCAGTGAAGGTTTCCTAGTCCACTTCATCATGATTTTTTTCCTTCTGCATTTGAAGCCTTCAAGATCAGCTATAATATATAGAAGGAAAATGGACAATGAGTGAGTTGATTCTTACAACTATCTAAGAAGAAGAGCATCTGAAAGTTGCTTAGCACATGGATGATGCTTCAAAGAAAAAGAAGATAAAATTCCATTAGAAGGAAACGAATAAGCTCCCTAAAACCAATGCAAGTGCTCGCTGTAGCTCTAAAACAACTCCACTCGGAAGTCTTACTGCAAGTTCCGTCACAAGGCAGAACATAAACAATCTGAATCCACATACTTTAAAGAGTGGCTAGATAAGAAAGGTAATCATCTTAATATGATAATTGAGTCCTTTAGTTTAAATGTTCCAACTAATACTTGGTAGTTTGACTCTAGTTCTATGACTCGTGTGACTAATTCTATTTAGGGATTCCTTACAATCCAGAAGTTGGAAAGAAATCCAAGAACACTTAAGATGGAGAATGGACAAGATTTTTTTTGAATCTATGGAAAGTTTAGAGTTACTTATGAAAACTAGAAAATCTATAAAAATTTAGGCTACCTTATATATTCCTAAGATTACTCAGAATCTTATATCAGGACCAAAGTTAGACATTGATGGTTTTGATGTTTCTAGTGGTCATGGAAAACTTACTATTTCTTCATATTCTCAATTGCTTAGTATTGGTTTTTTGGATAATGGTCTCTATAAAATAGAACTAGATGATAGATTCTTGAAATTTTTGTTATCATAAAATAATAAAGAGAACTTGACAAAGTCCAAGAGAAAACGAGACTTAGAAACTTCACCCCTATTGTGGCATCAATGTTTAGAAACATTTCACGAGATCGCTTGTCTCAACTTGTGAAGGATGAAGTCTCACCATCTCTCGATTTCACTAATTTTGGAACATGTGTCAAAGGCATTAAAGGTAAAATGACAACAACAACAACAACAACAACAATGAAGAAAGGATAGACTTCACATGTGCCAACGAAGATAGAATTTTTGGGTACAACAAAGGAGACCAGATTATTCGATTGTTCTACGATACAATTTGCTAATGTATTTAATGAGAGTTGTGAGTTGTCTTAAGAGGAGACATCAACATAAATAATTAATAAATTATTTCTTCCACACACATCTTAGATAGTCAATGATATACTTAATATACCCATTTGACTTTTTACGGTGTCTAATATAACACTTTGACCATTAATATCAATATGAATACATAGATATATTTTATAAAAAATTAGTATTTCAAAACTACATTTCAAAAAAAATATTAATTTTATATTTATGTCAAAATACAAAGTTTTCTCGTAAATCAAGGTCAAAGCTTACAAACTTTGAGCAAGAAAAGTCAAATTAGTACTCATGTACATATTACTGTTAATTAAGATTTCACCATTGTAGAACATACTTTGAAGAACTAAATAAATTATTTCTTCATCATTTTATATTGCCATTGAAAGAATAATTAATAATAAATTATTCATGCATGTACATACTCCATATTATTATTTTTTTAATCAATTTCATCTCCCTTTCCACATAACATGTATGGCCATATTATAAGGAAGAGGTTCCTTTCAAAGAATAGCCATATATATCTATTTACTTAGAGCAGAGGAAATGGGTGTAATGCCGGTGGGCGTCAACCCCGATTTTAATGCCTGGGGGCGTTAAACGTAACACTGCACCCCTAGGGCTTTAAATGGGCATCACTCCCTCCGCGTCAAACCTTTAACGCAATGCTCCCCTCCCCCAATGGCCAAAAACGTCTACTTTAGCCGTTAAACCAAAAAATTCTAAATTAAGAAAACCTATAAATTCTCTCAAAACAAACTTATATCTCACACATCTCTTACTATCTTCTCTCTACAATTCTATCAATCTTTCAAATATTTTATTATTTATTATAAATACTTATGAAATATATTTTTAAAATGGGATCATCATCCGATGATGAAAAAAGAGCTCTCATTTTTCATTATTTCACCACGAGTTGTTATCAATGGTGGCAACAAGGCGAAGAAGAAGCAGCCAAATCCTCCCGACGCCGGACCCTAACCCGACGACAACGTTTAAATCGGGATCGAGCGGCTACTCACACTTCACTTCTCAACGACTACTTTAATACTCTGTGTGTTTATACATTGAAGGATTTTAGTAATCGTTTTCGGATGAGTCGTCCTCTTCTTTTACTCATACTTGCCAATGTTGAACGCGAGGTGCCTTGGTTCACCCAACGCTTTGATGCGAGAGGCCGACGCGGGTTTAGTTGTGTGCAGAAGTGCACTGTCGCGCTTCGTCAGATGGTGTACGGGACCACATCTGATATGTTCGATGAATACTTCAAGATGTCGGCTCGGAGCATTAGGTCTTGTGTTTATAAATTTTCTAAAGATATTATTCAAATTTCTCATAAAAGATATTTACACAAGCCAACAACAAGTGACATTCATCAGTTACACGCAACGCATGCCGCTAAACACGGTTTTGTAAGCATGCTTGGGAGCATTCATGGCACGCACTAGGAATGGAAAAATTGTCCCACTGCGTGGCATGGTCAATTCTCCCGGGGGATCATCCCAAGCCTACTATCATGCTTGAAGTTGTTGCTTCAAATGACCTGTGTTTTTGGCATTCTTTTTTCGGTGTCGCAGGCTCGAACAACGACATCAACGTTCTCGATCAATCGCCTATTTTTGACGATTGGATTAATGAGACCGCACCTGACTCGTCTTTTGAGCTTAGAAGGACACTTTACAAGTGTGGATATTATTTGGCCGATGGAATATATCCAGATTATTCCACGATTGTCAAGTCCCTATCCGAACCAATGGGTCTTAAACGCCAGACCTACAAAAAAGCTCACGAGGCAGCGAGAAAAGATATTGAACGAGCCTTTGGGGTCTTGAAGGCTAAGTGACACATTGTAGATTATCCGTCGAAATGTTTTTCTCAAACAAAAATGAGGAATATCATGTACGCTTGTATTATTCTTGATAATATGATCGTAGAGCTTTGTACTTGGACAATTCACCTGTTGGGCCATTCATAATATGTACGGACAATTATCCGTCAAAATGTTTTCTCATCGTAGTCGATGCTATGACGTTGCGTGAATCCGCGGACAACCCATCGAGTTTTGTACCTGGACAATTCACCTGTTGGGCCAAGATTGTGGCGAAAGAGCCATTTTCCAGAGATAATATTTTGGTCAGGGGAGGGGGGGTACTAAATCCCGTGTATGATTATCTATCAAGGCATTATATTCATCTAGCATAACATTGTAGCAGTTAGGATATTTAAGAGCACTATGGTAGGTAGGGGGTATGGGGGAGATTGTGGCAACAATGTTAAGGTTTAGGATTTGTTTGGGACAGAAGATGTCGGCCTTAGCTCGGGTGACCATAGGCTGGGTGGGGGCTGGAG